TAGAAAGCCAAGTTTTCGTTAAAAAATCTGAGCGATTGACATGATGAGTCTTCATGGTGTTGTTGTCGTCGCACAATAACTCGTTCGCGCCTTTAGCTGTTCTAGTCATTGGTGATGTTCACCAATGTTTAAGCTTCTGTTTGATGTTCACCAATGTTCACCAGTGTTTTTTTACTAAATATCGTTTAATTTTCTGTATGTTTAACTTCTAATAAGTTGTATTGGACTGACGACCAACTCGCCGACGTCTCTACTCGATTTTATACGTCGGCGAGTTGGAGTCGGCGAATTGGTCCGTCGGCGAGTTGACCGTAATTCCTTTAAGCAGATCTTGTTCCTGGATTATGTGCTTCAAATATTCAATCACAAAAGATTAGTAACTCAGATAAATAAAAAAAAATGCCTTCGTAGTTAAAAATCAACAGGGATACATCAACTCCAGAAAGTTTGTTGCGAAGGGAAAATGTTGATGTCAGTACTTTTAGTGATATGCGGAAGTGTGCCTATAATGATTGCTATAAACAACACAATGCTCACAGTACAAAGCAGTTACAAAAAAAACAAAACAATAGTAAGTCAAACTATAGACTTTCCTAACAGCCTATCATAACAAAAAACAAACAAACAAAAAGTCTAAACACCCAAATGGTCTGTCAGACTTAAACATAATTAATTGCTTGATATTGTATTGATATTGTATTGATATTGTAAGGAGAAATTCTGTCTTGGTCACCCATGGGAGTTAAAGAGTTAATGAAACTTGAACAAATGTAAAATCATATCAATCTGTTGAAACCAGTTTTAATCAAGATCACTTTGATCTGAGATTTAATTCAACCCCTCCTTTTCTGTTTGGTAGATTCCTAGGAGGAATGCCTTTAAGTTGGGGAAAAGCTCTTTCAGGTTGAAGGAAATGGTCCATAAACTAAGATGACAAATCTGAGTTAACCCTTTTTTCTGATACTTTATTTCATGGTGTAAGAGGCGCAGTGGCCTCATGGTTTGCGTGCTTGACTCCAAATCAAGTGGTCCAGGTTTGAGCCCTGGCCGGGGTCATGTTATGTTCTTAGGCAAGACACTTTACTTTCACAGTGCTTCTCTTCACCCAGGTGTACAAATGGGTATCAGCAAATGTGCTGGGGGTAACCCTGCGATGGACTAGTATCCCATCCAGGAGGGAGTAGCAACACTCCTAGCCACTTCATGCTAAAGGAAAGCAGAGTTAAGCACCAGCCCCACGGGCCACTTGGGCCTGTATAAGCACCAGCCCCATGGGCCACTTGGGCCTGTATAGACTGAAGCTTTACTTTTTATTTCATGGTACTTTTAATTTCTAAAATTTCCCTGGACTGGTGTCCAAACATACTGTTATTTATATCAATTTTTAAACCAAAAGTAATTAACATCAGCAATAAAAATATTTTTCCCTCCATGAGAAATCTTTGTAATCCAAGAAAAATCCATTTACTGATGTTGCTCTTGCTCCTTGGCCAACCTTGAAAAACAAAATTGTATTTGTC